TTCTTTTGTATACAAAGACTAGGATTGTTCTCTCGAATTGCTTCCCATAGCTTCGGCTAAGTGTAAAAGACGGGTTCTGATTTCGTTCGAAAGACTTGATGGAATGCGGTAAATAACTTTGAAGGCGGCACTATTTTTGTCCACTTGGTGACCACTATCATCAATCAAATGAGCCAAAATAGAACTTCGTATGGACTTTATTTGACCTTTTCCGAACCATGAAGGAAGATGCTCATTAATGCGTTTGTTAAGCTGTCTAGTTGTTCGGCCTATATAGCTTTCTCCACAGGAGCAACTAAATTTATAGATACACATGGAAGTGGCACAACTAAGTAACTTATCTTTCACTTGAGCAATCAAAATTGGCCGGCTTCGTACTTTTATGATATTTATTTAAACTCTGATTATCGTTCCATTTGATTTGACCTAATTTATTTATTTATTGAATTGTCTACATATATGCATATACTAACTTTGTTATTCTTATCACCTATATAAGCCTTATTAACAATATTTTGTTATTATTATAATCATCGCTATTAACTTCATCCGAAACATTTACCACATTATTATTACTATTATTATTATGATTATCATTATTATGATTACTATTATTATTTGATCCACTAAATCACCGTCATTGGTTAAAATTTTATATATATAAGTCTATGTAAATTAGAGTAAAGCCTGAAGAAGATCTAATTGAAAACAATATTGTTCGCTTATATGTCTTGTTCTAATATTATAAATGGGAATATTTAAAGACTTTTGAATAGTGTTTGTATGCAATTCCTTTTGTGTGTTATTGGATTGTTGCTCTTTCGTAATTCACTATTTGGTCTGTGTGAGTTGATTTTCTATAAACTTGAGTTTCTAATTCCCCTGTGGTGGTTCGCTTGACTAAGATGTCCGAGGTCAAGGCGTCTCTCCACGGATTAACCTTGGATACAGTTTCTAGCAAACTCGTCATCATATATTTATTTATTTTTGATTACAGCTTGATTCCACACCGTATTTTTGGTACAAGTATGGAATTTTCAGCATGGATATTGGCAGCCCAAGTTTTTCAGGCCGACCGTAGATATCAGGTGTTCATCGACAAAAACAATCAATCACGACGTTGAAGGTCACCCACCAGGAGAGATGATTAATAAACTCGTGGAGAAATGCAAAAGCTCTCTTTAATTCAAATTGAAGTATGCACTGAAGATGTCGCCTAGTAGGGCGATGAATGCTTCGCAAATAAACTATCCAGCTAATCAGAGAGCAAAACCACATCAAAATCATCCACCTGGGCTACAAATCTTTTCCATCATATCTAGACCTTCATCACTCTGATATCAACCAATGTTTAGTTGGTCATTTTTTCTATATGAGTGAGAAATTTGGCCACAGAGTCACGAAAAGCATTTCCGACAACCAGCTGCGAACTGTATCAACAGGCACTACCTTCGCTGGACCCATATTCAAGGTCAAATAGCCGACCAGAAATTATTAGCAACAAGAAGCTCTAGGAGAACCTATTGATCGAAAATTATCTGGAGGAAAATAAAGATGGATTGTGTACACGCTGAGGAGACTGTGAGGTGATATAGTACGCCGACGCCATCACTTGAGTGAACAAAATTGGGACATATTGTTGATGTCCTATGTTCTATACGAACTCACGGGAAAAATAATAATATATAATAAGCAACTTTTAATAATTAAGTCACAATGGGTGTTATATTCATAACCAATCCACTCCACCCACTTCATTTTAAACATATGGATAGTGTATGTATCATGGAGAGATTTATTAGCCCCTATAGACGACCTGGTTCAGGCGAAAGTCAACTCTCATGTTATAAAAACAGTTCATAGCCTAACTCTGTCAGACAGGAAAGTCTTTTTCGGTGTCTTCATATGACGGGCAAATTCAAACGTTCGACACTTACAATCGGATTGATGGACATACTAGTCTACCTAACTAGATGGAGCTGGAAGACCCTAATTCAAAGACCTACAGTATATACATGAGCTCCAGAATCCGAAAGGAGGATCAAATGGCCTATGTGAACCTGTGTCGGTCACCGGAAACCATGAGAATGTTACCTATGGTGCTGCTCTACTGCTGTGTAGATTAAACTTCAAACTGACGGCTCCGACGGGGGATGATACCTTAAGATAACCACCTGTTTTGGTCTCGGCATCCGGGTAGTATCCCAAACCTTCCTCCACCTAGCACAAACTATGAGACTTTGTGTCAAGTATCTCTTGGTGCCTATAATTGTACTACCAAGTTTGTGCTTTAAATAAACTACCTTACTAAGTAACTTGTGCAAAAAAATTGAGGGAAATAATTTGCTAAAGGGTAGACAAAAAGTACCTGAAGCTCTTTTTTGTCACATTTTTAGCCGAGATGGTGGCTTTTCGTGAACGATACGAAAGCATTCAAGCAGATTAACTGTATCTGACCAGGTCCTTTCTAATAGAATCCATATTCACCTACTGCATATAGGCTAATGCGATTGACATTCGAACTGCCAAGCCTAAACGATACATTGTAAGGAAATTTTATAGAGCCATTGTTCTTAATCTCGGCCGAATGAAACCCTAACCCACCACGCCTTATTTATATTTTTTTAAATTTCTTTCGTATCAACCCTCTTAATCTTATCACATCTTCAATAAAACGTGGTTTACGTATGATGATATTAGATGGTTCGAGGTAGTCGGTCACAGGAAGCCCTGTCTGACCTATGCTTCTCGCTGGTTGGAACTCACTAGTCAGCAGTGAGTATTGGAAACTACCTTGAAAGAACTCATGTCCCTCCTTCTAGGACTCGAACCCGCGTAACTAATTGTTGCAGTCAGAGACGTTACCACTGAGAGGCTATTCAAGCTCGCGCGATTGACCTAACGTAGGACTGGCTGAATTCGATATCTCAGAAGGGATGTTCCTTCAAGATAGTTGCAGATACGTCTCAATGACTGATGAGTGCCAACTAGCACAAAACCGAGGTCGAAGGCTTCCTGCGGCCGATTGGATCCAACCCATCTATTACGAAAATGAATTAATACAGTACATTTAAGTGTTAGTTGCGCCAGGATTTCATCATGAGCAGACATCGGTTAGAGAACTACTGGAAACCTCCAAGGAGTACTGAACTGCCAGATGTTTCGTCAGCCTAGCTTGGGACTTTTCAGCAGTACTCAACCACTACTACTAGGACGAAACAGCTAGCTGTCGTCCAGTACTAACTGGTGGTTTCCAATGGTTATCTGACCAATGTCAGCGCTCATGATGAAATCTTGTTACAATACGGCTCAAATTGTGTACAGGTCAAGGTCACAAGTAAGATGTGAGGAGATGACATTAGGGTGTGGGGGGGTTAGGCCAAAAACAAGACGGTAGAGGGTGGAAACATAGTTGAAATAAACTGAACCTTAGTTCTAAATTGAATTATCAAGGGAGATTTAAAGTGATAACAAATAATTTTTGAACACATAAACCAGGTTTAAGCTTTTTTATGGCCAAAGCTTCGACGAATTTATGTATATGATCCTACCGCGTTTTACAACGTATGGATTTAAAGGCACTATTAAAATAAACCTTTTGATCCGTCTCTATGATATGCTTCACGACAGATGATATATATATTGGACATCTGTTTCCGGGATCAGTTGTATCCGGTGATTTTATCTGTTTGGTGCAGCCAGTCTGGAATATGTTCTGTAGCCCCAAACCTGCAGAGATCGATAGGTCCTTCCTATGTGTGTATGCCCACACATTCATGTTAATTGGTCAACACAGTTGGATATGACACTATCGTTCGGATGCTGTGATAGTTTACGGGACAATGTAGAGCTGATTTTCTCTATGAAAATAAAGTTTGGCTGCATAGTACATTCAGGATGTCATAAATTATATTGTGCAGATTCATTACACAATGAGTACTATCAGAAATGGGGCAGTTACTACCACAATAAAGGATTTCCAAATCAGTCACTACGTGTTTAGAAAGAGAGAGAGAGTGGAAGTCTCACTGTTAACCCAATCAACTTAAAAAATACAACCCCTACAATTAAAAGTAATCACATATACATTAGTGCCGTTGAGTCAGTATCTGGGACGCATCGTTTCAACTATGGGCGGAACGGACGAACATATCAAAGCCAGTCAGAATCGAAAAGGCAAGATACGCAGGCCTTTATCAACCTGAAACCAGTTTGGAAATCTTCCACAATCAGTATAAGCAAGAAGATTCAGCATTTTTAACACCAATGTCAAGTCGATCGGCTCTTCTATACGGGTCAAAAACTTCGCCAGTGTGTCATGGAAAGGGTTTCCAATAGCCATTTGCAGACTTTCATCAACAGCTGTCCACTTTCCTGACTCCATACTGAAGACCAAAATGGCCGGCCAGAAAGAATAAGCAACAAGAAACTATGGAAACGCACCAACAAGCAAGAGCTGATCGCTGAACAAATATGTGGGAGAAAGTGGAGATGGATGGATCGATAATAATACAATGACGAGGCTACCGAATGACAACGCACACCAGGCAATTGCTCGAGTGGAATGTAAATGGGAAGCGAGGAGTGGGTCGTCAGTGAAACGGTGACATGGAGGAGATTGTGTGTGAGAGAGAGAGAGAGATGAAAGAGTTTGGTCAATTAGAGACCCAGGTGAAGAGGACGGTAGAAAACAGAACAAAGTGGAGGTGTGTTGTTGAAGGAAGCCCTATGTTCCATTCGGAACTCAAGGGAATAATAATAAATTGAATCAGGTCCCAGTGGCTGAATGGTATACAAGCTTGCCTTGTAACCAGAAGGTTCTGGGTTCGAACCCAATTGTGGTGGGTGCATACTGCCGATGATTCCCAAACTACGATGAAACAGATGTCCAGTACTCCCCGCTGGGTTTCCAATGATTCTCTAACTGATATCACTTCGTGTTCAAATTCAAAAAAAAAAATCAACACCTTTGAAAATTAATTAATTCATATATAACTTACTAGATACTGTACTATGCTCATCATTTAATTCAACTAAAACATCACGAAGAATAATACCAATTGTACTCATTAATCGATTTTTTCCAATAGGTTCTACTAATTTCAAATTAGATATATCCGGCTGTGAATGAGACGATGATGAGGCTGATGATGATGGTGCCGCCAGAGATACGGATAATGAGGATGAGGAATACGATGAAGTTATACCAATAGCTGATGATGACATTTTGATTAAATTAATCCTTAACTGAACCGACGATGAGGATGATGATGATGATGACTTAGAATTCACAGCTTGTGTACGATTCATACGTAGAGTTGATAAATCTGGGCGAAGTTGTCGGCGTAAATCTGTGGTGTAATTTAAGAGAAAAGGGAAGTAATGATAAAAATAAACTGATAGAATGAGGCTGAAACAAGCTAAAACATGTCTGGACAAAAGAAGAAATAGAGACAAGACAGAATATTTATCATCAGATGATTGGACAGCCTAGAATCCCTACTTCATGCAACCAATATAATTGGTTAGAAATTGGCTTAACTTCCTGAGGTCTGCCCTTGAAAATTCCTGAATATTTGCACGAACTGGTCTTTTTTCCATCTTTATTTGCATGGAGTTTGGAGATCAGAAGTAATCGATGATTTCTTCTGCCTTCCTTTATGGTTGCAAGGCATGGCAATTCAATTTTATCATAGATGTATTAATGGACTTAACCCTAACTCACTTCACAGACTCAGGGAGTGGCTTGCTACCGTCAAAAAATAATCTCGTTGACTTAGAATATGCAGACGATATAGTCCTACTAGGCGAGGACGCTGACAAAATGCAGAGTTTTCTGAACACGTTCAACTGCAATCTACGAATGTTTGGTATGCGATTCACTCCCGCCAAATGTAAGATGATGTTACAAGACTGGACTACATCGACACCTAGTTTAGAAATAGGGAGTGAAGTGGTAGAGCACGTTGACCGCTTCACTTATTTGGGAAGTACCAACGGGTTGAACCCTGACGAAATCTCAATACGCACATAGAGGGCTAGTTTCGCATATGCCAGTTTATGCCGTCTTTGGCTTAGTAAACGTGATATCCGGTTGGCTATCGACCAAAGGGCGTGTGTACTGGTCATCAGTCTGCTCTGTCCTCCTTTACAGCTGGCTGTGAGACCTGGCCATTGAGAGTGGAAGACATGAAAAGATTAGCTGTCTTCGATCATAGGTGCCTACGCTCTATCTCCTGTGTGAAGTGGTATAATAAGGTGAGCAATATTGAGGTTAGGCGTCGAGTGCTAGTTAAAGAGGGGAACCAATCGACCAGGCTGTGAAATTACATCGACTGAGATGGTTAGGACATATGTTACGTATGTCTAGCCACCGATCGCTTTACCCGATGAGCAATGATAGCTGACATAGGGTTAGACTGGAAAAGAGCTACCGACGGTCAGACAAAAACATGTCACCAGTCAATGAAATCCACAACAGTTAGTTTAAGCCAACCGCGTAGGAAGGTGTAAACTTCCTGACTGGTTGGGGTCCACAGGACCGTAAAAACCAATGGTTGGAAACAATTGGTAGCATGGCTCGAAATTGTTCTCAATGAATAGTGCAGATGCAACCACTCCTTGTGACCTGTGATTTCCAGTGAAATTACATTTTTCTTCGTTATTACTATTCCTTTGTCTCACACCTCTGTTTACTGTCTCTATTATGCATTTCTTGTACTTTCTTCTGTTGCTTTGTGTGCTACATGGAGGGGGTGCAGCGACTTGAACTGGTGCACATCGGTGCAAAGTTCCCTGTCGAAAACAGACAGACAGGAGGCATGGCCATTGAATGTGGACTACCTGATGGGTGAAACTGTCTTTGACCACAAGTGTTGGAGTTCCATCTTCCATAATAAAAGCTTTAATGTGTTATTTAATATTGAGATCATACAGGAAAGTCAGCTGATGAGGTAGTGATATGTAGTCACATGATGTGTGTTTTGTTTTTGACAGTCTGTTATATTTTGCTATGTGTATATTGATCGATATTCCATCATAGCTGACATTATGCTTTTGTCTGTCCACTAACTAAATAAACGATGTATGAACTTTTGTCACAGGAGATTACGACCAATCAGAATCTAATCATGATAAGATGTTTATCTTATTGGTTCATGTATATTAATCATTTTCGTATGTACTTTTGCATTTTACACTTTTACACACACTTGTTCACACATTTCGTACACTTCATACCCTTTCACTCACACACTTGTGTGACAGTCATTTTTTTCCTTGTTTGGAAAATACAAGTATCATCGTGAACGTGGTGGTCTTCTGATTTTCCTCTTTCAGCGTCAGGACTATTAACTACTCGACGAGTACATAACAGGTAGCGAAGCTAAATCGACTTCTATGTTTAAAATACGTGTTAAGCATACCAAACTGTTGATTTTTTCGACGAGTAATGTTAGCTGTAGTTGAATCAGGGTTAGAAAAGAGATGAGGAGGACTAAACAAAAATATGGCGCATTTTAAGTGTTCGTTGAACCATGAAAGGAGGTGTAGAATACCTGATTTGGGATCCTCAGGATTAGCGATATGTCACAAAAAAATGTTTATGAATGTTTCGGATGCATTCACTACTTGTAATCTACTAGGTTCTTACGTTTCACTATGTAATTGTACTTTCTTATGGATATTCCCTCCCTCGCACATCAAACATCCCAAGATTTCTGCTCAATGTGTTCACAGAAGACTCTGAATTCCATCAGCTCCGTCACCTAGAAGAACAATATCATCCGCAATAGTACCACCATTGATAAATGCTGAAATTACAGAATGAGTAGGGTCGAGCTCAGATGTAATGTGATGAGTAGAAAAAAGAAGACAGTAAAAAGGATTTAATGTGTGTGTGTGTGTGTGTGTGCGGGTGCATCAACCTACTATCAGCCACAGGAAGCAACTGTAAACCAACCAGTAGCAAGCCAAATGAAATTAGTAAAGTTATCGATCAAACCTTGTGGAACGTCAGAAGAATGCGACGTAGTAAAGTAATAAATGTCTGACTGATAGATCAATACAGAACTATATACAAGTGGGAGTACATCAGTTCAAGTTTACCGCATTTTGAAAAGATGTATGCCTGAAATAAACATTGACGATAAAATCACAAAACCAACATCAGTTATTTGAATAAAGCAAGAACAAAGGTGGTTTGTGTAGAATAAGAAAATGGTACCATCATTACTTCTTTCGTTAGCTTCTCATCAACTGCGTACAGTCGATAGAATTTTAAAATACTTGTAAACGTGACATAATGTCAGCAAATGACATGAGACTCCAAACTTAATGAACAGTGTTCAGAAAATTACACTTATATAGTTTAAACCCAGAAAGTTCATGGTTAAACAAAAATAAATGTCTCCATAGAATGGTAGGGGAATTTTGTAATAAATAGTGAGTAAGATAATGAGTGATTAATAAATTCAGTAATAATGCGATGAGTTCAACTCAAACCGTAGAAACAAGACTTAAGGAGGGAGAGCTTAATGCCAAAGAATATAAAATCAAATAAAAGAGTAAAGACATCCAGTTACCACGATGGGCAAAGAAAGACTGACTGATTAACTACTTTCTTCTGAACTCTTAAATCAGGTTTCAGGAGTTGCCGATACGGATTGTGCTTCGGCAAACTTGAGGAGAATGGAGCTCTTTTATCTCTGGGAGTGAACCGATCCAGCAGGAACCGATCGTGCAACAAATAAGCAAGAAGAAATGAAGTTCGATGGATTGGCCATGCTCTGAGAAGACAAACCATCAAGTGACATCACAAGACAGGCGAGTTGTTCGTCAGTTCGAGGGTGACATAGGAGGTCATGTGAAGAGGAGATGAAAGTATGTAGGCAGACGTGGAGCCAGGTTATAAAAATGTTGGTAGAGAATTAAATCAAATGAAGACGTAAAGCTAAAGCCCTATGTTCCTCTAGGAACTAAGGGAAACAATAATAATAATAATATCTACTGATAATTTTGAAGGATCTTGCCACATCCACCTCATGACCTGTATTAATGAGATGTCTAGCAACCGCGCTAATAAAAATGGCTGTTCCCTTGTAGACTTTTTGACACATATTCATTACACCGGAAGGGTGCCCTTCTTTCTGTTCTCTCAAGGTAACTATGAGAGTTAATTAAAAAAGAACTCGGAAAACAGAAAAACCATCTTTTTAAAAACAACTTACTCAATTCTAAACAATGATATTCTATATCTAAAAATGTTCTCAGCATAAGTGTACCACTAGAATCTTTAGTTGATAATGTATCCACTGGTGACCAAGTGGATAAAATTCGTAAACTATCCAACTCATGATTGAAATTATTACTGAACACTTTATTATTATTATTGTTGTTCGCATAATCAATAAATAATTCAACATGATCATCAAATTCTTTCCAATCCCAACTATTAAAACAAAAAAAAACAAGAAGAAAATTGTATAATGAGTGTATTTTAAATACAAACTTTGAAAATAAATTTGCGCACCAAAAATTGCGCTACACAAAATGGCTTCCTAAAGAAGATCTTCCCTGCAACAACGCTAAGGCAGAGATATTCTCTAATCATCCACTGTTTCTAGGCAATTCGATGGACAGATTCCCGTATTTTTTATTTATTTTTTTCATTTTTGATTACAGCTTGATTCCACACTGTATTTTTGGTACAAGTATGGAATTTTCAGCATGGATATCGGTAGCCCAAATTTTGCAGGTCAACCATAGATATTAGGTGTGCGTCGGCAGGGGATCGAATTCCGGACCATGTGCATGGTTGGCGACAGTCCTAACCACTGTCCCACCTCTCTGAAGTACATATATATATCAATTCACGTGCTTCTTTGGAGTTAAATACATAGGTCTTTCTATGCACGTCCTTTCAAAACATGCTACACAACACTACTCAGAGTATCTGCAAAGGAGAAGGTAATGGTTCAGTCAACAGTGTCATAATTGAACATCCTTTTTCAACACCTTTCATTGCACCCCCAACTGACTCTTCATAAAGAGTCATTCAAAAAACAAACAAAAGTTTCTAATAAAGGCGATGTGTTTCTAATTTCTTTAAACTGTAGAAGCCTTCAAGAGATATATGCATCGAGAAGTAAGAAGTATGTGTTCAAAAGAAGCTAGTCTACATTCTAAATTTCTCACGGATCTAGTTCTCATTGACTTCTTAGTTTTTGTTGACTCTCTCTGTTTCTTTATTGAAATAAACAACTATTATTTGAATTTATTTCCATACTCATCTTGTTTACACATGTGTTCATTGAAAAACTAAGAAAAGAGAATAATACGCTTCAGTACAAAAGAAGACACTCTATTTGAATCTGGAATTCACGGGAGACCTAGCAGGAGATATCCTTAAAAAAGGAGAATCTCCAATCCTTTGAAGAAACATTTTTCCAGCAGCAACTCTAAGGATGATATTCTCTCTAGCCGCACACTACTTCGGAGCAACGGGAAGGACAGACTTCCTTACGCATATGACCACTTCAATGTGCATTTATCAGTTCACTTGCTCTTGCGGAGCTATGTGTACATCGGTCGTTCTATGCAGGTCTTATCAAAACGTGTTAGAGAACATCATCCAACATGGCCGCAAAGAGGAGGGAGGCACTGGTTCAATCAGAAGCGCAATAACTGAACATCTCGTCAATACCTGTCTTAGAATCTCAACCGACTCATCATTTTGAGTCATTTACAAAGTAAACAAAAATCTATCATAGGCAGTCAGAGTGTTTCCGACTTCTTCGTACTGCGGAAGCTGTCGCCATATGCATTGAAAAGTCGGAGCTGTGTGTTCAAAAGAAACTAGTCCAGCCTTTACAACTACCATGGACCTAGTTCGGTATGTTCCATTCAGTTTTTTTGTTTTGTTATCTGTCTGCGTAGTTATCTCTCTTTGCCTTCATTCAATTCATCCTACTTTTTCGGTTATAAAATCAGTTATTTTAAGTTTGTTTCCATGCTCCTCCTGATCACACTTGTAATCTGTTTAGAATAAACAGTTTTACAATTATATTCTAATCCTGAGTAATTATTTTTGTTTCTATGTCTTTTTTATTCTATATTCACACCTCCTAACTTGCATTTCAGGTTGAAAATTTTGATTTCAATTTGTTTCTATGCTCATTTTGTTCACACCTATAATTCGTTCTATCCTGCATAATTTTTGTCTCTAAGCCTCTTATAATTCATATCAAGTTGAAAATAATTATCACCTTCTATTTGACTTAAAATTATTTCTCCAGTTATCAAATATTAATTTTTGATACGTTGTAACTGTTTTCGAATCCTATGCAATCTTGTCTCTGAGCCCCTTGTAATCTATATATTCCTACCTTCAAACTTTCATATCAAGTTAAAAATTATTATCACCTTCGTTACTATGTGGAATTAATTAAACAAATAATAATTGTATCCATGTAAACTAATGTTGTATATAAATTCGATTGTACAGCTGGTTTTGAGAATGAAATCGCCGAAAAGATCGCCATCTCTGCTGAACTTCTTGTTCTTTTGTTATGTACTCGTCGCTAAATTATTGTTATGGACTGGTCGAGAATTTAATAGTCCTGACGCAAGAAGGCGGAAATCAGAAGACCACTAGGTTTGCGATGATACTTCTATTTTCCAAAACACCAGGAGAATGCAAAAGTGGTATCACACCAAAGTGGTGAGTAAGTCATTGTAAGTCACAAGACTGTGAGAACAAAATATATATATGACAAGGACGTGAACAATCATTAGACAGTCTTAACATGAATGGCTAATTATAATGAAGTATCGATCCATATATACATAGCGAAATATAGCAGACATGTCAACAACCACCATATATGGATATATGTCACCAAGCAACGAACTGTCAACAAACACTCATATTATATATAATATAATATAAGGAGAATATACATTGTTAAAGGAAACAAGTTCATACAAGTGAAATGGTCACAGACTAAGCGAGCAAACAGAAACAGAGACCAACATACACACACACATATAAATATATATATGTGGATACATATCATCTTTTCAATCTAATGAAAAACTATGTCACATGTTGCGCAACAATTTTCTAATTCTGTGTAATTTTATCTCGAAGTTTCCTTGTAAGCTACATTTATACCTTCGAACTTTCCTAATCAGGCTGAAAATTACTAATTCCTTTTAATCTCCCTTTGTTGTTATTATTATGTAGTGTTACATAATAAGTGTATTTTGTAGACGTTGGCGTCGAGGGCACCACAGTGGTAGAATGCTTTCCGACTACGCCTCATGTGGTCGGAGGTTCGATCCACGGCCGATGCACTACACCAGTAATAAGACTGGTAATCAGGTAAGGTTTGTCATGACCCTAGCAAGCCCATCCCGTAAAGTAAACACCGCTGTTACCGAAGCCTCAAAGCTCTAAATTGAAGCTCTCTCTATGTTTCACTGGGACCTTAAAGGAATAAGAAAAAATTTAAACGTATGTGCAAAAATGAAATTGTGTACAGCATTTGTGGATGAAACTGCCGAAAATGTGACCTTCCTGAGCTTCTTATTTGTTTGTTTTTTCAAGAAATAACTAAATACGAATATGTACGTCAATGGTTCACTAGTTGAATTGCTCACCAACCACATATGTGTTCCAGGTTCGATTCCCGATAGACTGTTTATTCTCACTGAGCTAGTAGTAGTAAATCTGGTAAAGAGGGGAGGCTATACGTAAGGACAACTATCTCATCTCGTGGAAATTCAGAGTTCATACTTGAAGCCCTCTGTTTCAATCGAAACGCAAAGGGGGTGGGAAAATGCATAGGAGAAAAAAGAACAAAGAACAGGTAAACAAATACATTTCAAGAGCCTTCCGAAGAGCATGGTGGTAACACAACACAACTATCCTCCAACCAACTGAGCTGCGTCATGAACGGACGGAGGCGTTTTTGCCTTTGAATGTATTCAAAAATAAATAAAGGATTCACGGGGAGGGGGAGTCGAAGTATAACAACCCATGACAGCTAATGCACCAATGACCTTGAACGCATGCTAGTTCGTTGGATAACGGGACCTACCATTATTATAGCTCCACTATGAAGGAACTGATGTGCAGATTTTATACCGATCTCATTTTTAAGTAAGTTTTAGATATTGTGTTGATAGCTTGTTTGGATTAAGGTTACGAACAGGATCGTGGTTAAGGTAAGGAACAGGGTTACAGGGTTTCATTTTGAATATCTGCATTTTTCTAGTAAAAAGTTGCCTACCTCCACATACTAATACACAGCCGAAGGTCCTTAGGGAAGACTAAAAGACAGGATAAGAGTGATAAGTAGGTCACAAAAAGAACTTGTCTCCAGTCACCTCGATGACTACAGGTACGATAAGCTGTTTAACCTGAAAACGAGTACGCCTCATTAATGATAATAATAATAAACAGCTTTATTCCAAACAGTATTTGTGGTGCAGGTATGGAATTTTCAACGTGCATTACAACATATTGCATCTAATTACCTCATAAATTTTATAAGATTTGGAAATCAAAAGCAACACCCAAAAAAGAAGATAAATAAATAAATAAAAAAGAACAGCGTTGCGTTTACATTTTCAACAATGTACCACAGGATATGAAATATAAAGTTGATGTGTGATAGAAGATGAGAACAACAGTGTAATAGTAACGAGGAAAGGAAAACAAAAACTAATGGGACTATTTGTTAGAGTGCCGCAGTAAGTTGATCGTGTCATACCTAACGGATTTCTCATCACCACATAACAGCTGTGCCAGGTATGGCATTGTGGAGTTTTTGTACTTGGTAGCCCTAGCATATAGCCTCCTATAGCTGCTTCTAGTTCTATCAGATGAAATGCAAAGAGACAGCTGCGTAAAGAGAGGATGCTCGGGGTCTGACAATATTGTATTCGCTGACACAATATGTCTGTCCACAAAAGTGTTAACCAGTTGGTTTAACGATATCCCACTTGCCCTACTAACGGCTTTTAGTGCCTGCCCTTCTCAGCAAAGCAAAGTCTTTCTTAAGTAGTCCAGGAAAGATTAATGGGGAGCAGTAAAGGGGGATGGGTAGAATACAAGAATTGACAAACTGAGAAAGCAAAGACTGCTTTATGCCAGACTGCCTAAATTTCCTAATGTAGAACGTTAAGCGAAACATCTTTCTAGTAACTAACTAGCAAGATGTGGTAGGACCAGTAAAGATCGGTGTAAAAACTCAGCCCAAGGTACTTGACATTAGATGTATTTTCAACCTCTGTGCCGTCAACGATAGTGGGACCATGTGAGCTAACTAGTTGTTGTAAGTCACATTTACGTCTGAAACTGAAATTGACTACCTGACATTTAGACGGATTCAGCTGAAGACCGTTTGAAGAGGACCAATGACTAATTTCCGACAGGAAGTTATT